GCCAGAGGCACAAGTAACAGGATGGGCTGCCAAGTCACTACTGAATAGCTCAGCTCTAAATTCTCAGCATACCAGTAGCAGTTTTCCCTGCGGGCTAACAAAAAGTGGGTTTCCAGTAGGAAAATAATAGAGGTGATTTGACATACATACTGTGGATCTCGGGCCAGGACTCGGGCTCAGAGTGTAATACTGCCCCTTGGCCATGGGGTGAGAGGAGAGGGCAGAGAATCAGCCTGCACCGGCTGGGATAACCACCCATCAGCTACCTCCCCAGCCCAGACAGGAGCTCTTCACTTCCAACAGTCACTCTGTTCCCTCTGGCCACGGCAAGGGCTGCTCAAGTGGGATTTGCTTAAAACCTCTTGCTGTAAAATAAATCCATTAAACTGAACTCTAAAAACAAACCTAGAAAGCCACCTCCCCAAACGCCAAACGTGATTCAATTATTGTAGTGAGAGGCAGTGGTAATGTTAGGAGGAGGAGGGGTTGGCAAGGCAGATCTGGTTTCCTTTGATCTTGTCACAGATTTTAGTTTGAGGCCAGCCAAAGCCATTCTTCTCCCCTTCTCCTTAGTCCTGGGGCAGCAGAATGCTGCTGTTTCATTGATGACTCCCAAGGCCCTTTGAAACAGTGGGTTTTTTTCTGTGTACTGCTTTTTTTTTGTCTAATCGGTAAGAAGTTAACACTTCCTTAACATGTCTTTGTGTTCATCTAATCTCTGCTGTTTAACCTTTGACATCTCCCTTATTATCCATGTCTGCCACCTTTTCCAAATACCGACAGCAGTGACAACACAGAACGGTTTGAGCCCTGCGGTAACAAGCCGTGTACATTCCTCCCACTGCACCGGGAAAGCCATTTGCCCTTTGTAGCTGTTTTCACCGTGACTTGGAAAATAAACTGCAGTTTGGGCAGAGGTAGCTAGAGAGGCCAAGCCTCACACACAGCCAGCTCAATTGAGAACCACCCCTCATGGCAGCAGCCACTGCCTAGTCCCACTCTGCTCCAGGCACCTCAGTACCAGCTACAGGCCAATTCCTTGGAGAGGACTGCCCACAAGAGTGTTGGAAGAGACTAAGAATCCAGCCGTGTCTCTGGGTGGGCACAAGACCACAAGCCAGTGTATTTGGTGCAGCCCCAGAGAGAAGCAGTAGATGCAGGGCAAGCAATGCACAGGCAAACACAGACACAGGTCTGCAGGGTTCTGGCTCCAAAGTCTTAGGAAATCTCTTAGCTGGCAAAAACCTCTCTGTCCTCTGCTTGGATGTGAGAGGTTATTGGAAGACTGGGATAGGAACCAGGGAAGGAGCTAGGAGAGGTGTAAATGCAGAGGAGCAGCACAGCCACCATCTGAGAGGTGCTGCATGGAGATGCTGCAGAGCAGAGGCTCGGGGTTTGTGGGCAGTTACACCTGGAGATCTGTGCCCGGGGTGTGCATGAGCACCACCATGCCACAAAGCAAGAAGCTACCTAGGAAGTACAGCAAGAAGTTAAAAAGAGGGGTTTAGGAAGGATTGCAACAAAGAATGATGTATCACAGAGGAAAGTCATGCCACAAGAGCTTTGACAGCTATTTTGACAAAAGCTTAAGAAAGCTGTTTACTTAGAGGAATGAGAGACCATGAGCAGGGAAAAAGACAACGAACACCTTGGTAGGGCTGAGTAGTCTAACCATAGCTGGCATTAATGCAGGCAAGCTGGAGGGACCAAGCCTGCTGTCATACACCAAAGCTCTTCAGGACTTTGCCAGCTCTGGTTTCCAGTTTGGAGGTTTGTTTCTAGTGCTCCTGCTAATCTGGGGGCACCAGCAGGCACACAACATGGCACAAGGGCCTCCTGCCAGCCCTGAGAGGTCTGTTGTCCTCATGTACACTTTGTAGACCACCAGGCTGTGTCTCAGCACTCCTAGGGACAGAATAGAAACCCCACCTTCTTATTTCTGTCTCCTTTCTCATTTGTAGGTACTATAAAAAGTTCTCTATTCCTGATCTGGACCGATACCATCTCCCCTTGGATGCAGCTGCCCTGAGCTTCAGCCATGCCAACAACACCCTGATCATCACGGTGAGGTTTTAACCATGCAGATCAGCAGTCTGCCCTTCTCTTTATGTCCACAAAGAAGCTAAAGTTTTTACACATGGGGAAATGAGGCAGAGCTGAGGGTCACCCATGCAGCTCCTTCTCTGTCACAGAGTCAGTGGGAGTTTCAGATTACACTGGGCATGCTGACACTAGCCAGGAGATCCCAGGTGGCAGGAGAGGCCCTCCTTGCTGCTCAAGGTGACATGCAGGTGGAAGAGAGTCTGTCGTGCCCTGTTTTCCATGTATTCCCTCCCTCAGGCCTGAGCAAGCCTCCACTCTCAGTGACACTTGTTTCTTTTGTCTCAGAGCATAAAAGCCCAAAGATCTGCTGCACTTTGAGGTCTCGGAGTCTTAGAATAATAAAAAAATAATCACCTGCTGCTTTGTGTCAGAGAGGGAACTCTTCCACACACGTGGAAGCAAGAGACACACACTTCTTGTTGCAAGGAGCAGACAGATGCTTTTGAGCAACAGGTGTTTGCCTTATTCAGTGCAGAAGTCAGCTACACAGAGGGCACACCCTCCGTGAGAAACCTGGCAGCAAACCTGGGCTGCACGTGCAGAGGAAATGGGCCAAGAGGAGCACCTTGAGTCCTCCTGAGCTTCTGTTTGCTACTGACCAAACCTTGCAAAAAGCACCTGCATCCACCGCTAAGCTGCAGCTGGGTGAGAGGCCTCTGAAAGGAAGATAGAGGAACTGCAACTCTTACTTCTCTCTGCATTAAAAAAAAACCCACACATATATCTATATATATATATACAGATATATATATATATAACCACTTGTGAGCATACGATCAGTGAGCACAGCAAGGATCTGCTTGCCAGGATATTCCAGAGGGGTTGATGGGGGCCAAGATTCCACACCTAACTGGAAAGTTTTACTTGCACCGTAAAAGACACTCCAGAACTTGCCAAATGTCTTTAGCTTGATAGCACCACCTCTCTAGACAGGCTTCAGAGGCTGCTGGTAATGGCAAGGCCTCCCTTGGCAGGAGGGCCCTTGCTGGGCTGGCAGCAACAGGTTGCAGTTGGTCTGCTTGGAGCAGAGGCTGAACAGGAGTTCAGGAGTGCTAAGGGCATTTCTCTCTGTCCTACAGTACCAGAAGCCGAAGGAGATCCTGGCTGCAGAAGAGCAGCTGCAGAAGGAGCTGAAGAAGATAAAGGCAGCTAACAGTGGGGATGGAGACTGTAAGACCCAGTAGGCAGTGGCTGCTAAGAGGTTGAGGTGAGGGGCAGCTCTCTGGCACAGCTTCATGGTGTTTATTTTGCCTTATCTAATAAAAATGTTGTTGTTGTTGTTAATAGAGCCATTTAGAGGAATTTTTGTAAGCCTAGGAAGATGACAGGGCAGTTGACCTGGCCTGCTGATTTATGCAGACATTTCATAGAACAATAGAATGATTTGTGTTGGAAAGGACCTTAAAGATCATCTAGTTCTAACCTCCCTGTCATGGGCAGGGACACCTTCCACTAGACCAGACTGCTCAAAGCCCGATCCAACCTGGCCTTGAACATTTCCAGGGTTGGAATGATCCTTCTATGAATTGTGGGAAGCTGCAGTATGCAAAGGAAGCACACCACATCTACAACCAGCAGCCCTGTCCCCATCCAACATGACACCTCGGGAATTCCCCATCTGCCACCATTGCTGAAGGCAGTAATGTTTGGAAAACAAGAACTCCCCCCTCACACCCATGACTTGCCTGGGATGTACTTGGAAGCAGCTCCTTCCTGTGCAGTTATGCAGCTCCTCCGTGCAGTCAGGATGCTCTGGTGACTTTGCTATCTCGGCAAACAGCATCAGTGTTTAGACCTGAGTGGGCACAGCCAATGAAACAGGGTAAAGAGGAAGACATGCAGCTGCTTCCTTACTGCCAGCCATCCACCACGTGACAGGGCTGTGCAGAGGGCAGGAACCAACGTGCAGCTGCCTCCATTTGCGTGGCATGGAAGGGAAGCAGTGGCTGGGCCACTGGCCAGCTAAGGAGCAGCAGCTGCCCACCCTTCTTTTGTGAAGGCACAAACATGGACCACTGCAAACCTCACTGCACAGGGACAGCCCCAACAGTGCTGCTTTACCAGCTCCTCCAACAGCCATCCTCTTGCTTAGATTTCTGAATGTTGTTCCATCCTAGTTCATCCTTGAACACTTACTACTACACAAGCAAACCCTACCTCCAAAGTGAGCTGCTCATGGGCTCCTAACATAGCTCCCCTGATGAGGCTGCTTTCAAACCGTGACAATTCTTTAGACTCTGGGGCTCCAGCAAACATATTCCTCCAATTCTTGTGCATCACAAGGGAAGAGCAGCCTCCTGACAGTGGAAATTAATATACTAAGTTCTAACAAAGCACCATGCTAAGTGGCTCACCCCAGGAGTGCTCTCAGTTTGTGTTAAAAACCTCTCCTCTGCCTACCCAGGACACCCAAACTCAACCAAGAAGGGTTCCCACACTTCCTTCCCCAAGGAGGGCCAGACCCCAGACACCACTCACAGCACATTATCCACATCCAATCACACAGCACCGAGCATGCTGAAAGGTATGGTTGTTCAGAGACCCACGTCAGGTTCAGAAGGATGACACAAAAAGGAGCAGAGCCCACTTGAATGTGTCTACAGGATCCCAGTAAATCACATCCAGGTGCTCATAGTAGTCTGGTTTGCTGCTTCATTAAGCAGGCACCAAATGAGTCACAGATGCTACTTTTTGAAATCTTGTTTGAAAAAATGACAGGAGATCCAAGCTCCCAGGAACCTTCAATGCAGCAGTGTCACAGGGTCTAGCCAGGGAGAGAGATCTATAAGACATGGAGACAGCATATGAAAATAGGTCCAACCTCCCCCACCCAGGCCTCTGCAATCAGCAGGTAACATCATAACTCCTTCAGAACTTGAAACAAAACATACAATCTCTTTTGTTTCCTTTCAGATTTATTTAGCAAAACACGACTATTTCAGCCCTGCCAAGTGCATAGCTTGACCTGATGGCCAACTTGGGGAGGCACACTGAAAGCAGGGCTGGCTCTGCCTTTTAGCTCAATTGTTGCTCTTGGCTGTGAAGGACAACACAAGCAGCTGTCAGAACAGCAAGTTAAGGAGAAAGGAGGGCCTCACTCCAGGCACCTTTCCCTTCTACCAAATCAGTTCACCCCACACACAGCCTAGTCTTGTTTCACGTGCTTAGAGCTTGGCTGATCTCAAACTGACCAGCACACAGCTGCTGGGGCAACCTGGCTCAACTTGCCCCTCAAATGATGTATCCACAGGAAAAAAAGGAAGGAAAAAGAAAAAAAGTAACACAGTTAATAAAACAATTCCCGACTTGCACAAAATAAAAAGAGTAAAGGACAATTGGCCTATTATTTTCATGAACAGGCAGGTAAGGTGGAGAAAGTTTGGCCCTTTGTGCACTCTTCATTATAGCTTTCTGGCAGGCAAAAAAGTCCCTTCAGAAGCCTTGTGGGCCTTTTCTCACCTCTCCTGCCCTGCAATTCCCTGAGCCAAGTGTCAGCTCTGCTGAGTTGGGGTCACCAGAAGCAGCTGTGGTGCCCTTCACGAGGCCGTGAAGTCCAGGACGTGCAGGGCTGACGCCAGGGCAGCGTACAGGTGGGTGGTACTGAAACGGAGGCAGTACACTGGGCTGCTGGTGGGTGAAGACAGGTGAAAGCTCTGCAAAAAACAGGAAATCAACCTTTCAGAAACAAGGTCAGCCCAAAGATGCTGGGTGGTGTTACAGATCCAAAGGCTGAGATGTCTGAGAAAGCAGATTTTCCCTGCATATAGGGTAGGTTTGCCATGGTGGACTAGCCCCAAAGAGAGCCCAGCAGCCCCTCTTTCTTCTGCCCACAAGGCATGCACACTGGGTTGCCAGAGAACAGCTGAGAAGCTCTGCTGCTGCTCAGTCTCCCACTGGTGCTCACCTGCAGGCACCGAGTCTGCCGCTTATCCCAGAGGCGTACCACACCGTAGTAGGAAGAGCCGCTGGCAATCATATGGTTCTTGTCACTCCTTATGCAGTACAGGGCACTGTCATGGGGCTCTTCCCACTCCTGGACGCACTTCCTGCAAGGGCAAACCAGAGCAGGGCTGAGCCTCCACTCCTCCATCCACTTAGCCTGAAGGAGCTGAGTCAGTGAGAGCTGAGTTCCCAGACGCCGCACAAGGACCCTCCAGGAGCCTTGCGTGGCCCCAGATGCCAGCAGGGCAGGCTCACCTGGTGCTGGTCCGTATGTCCCAGTAGCGGATGTAGGTGTCATACCCACAAGAAAGGAGAAGGGAGGGGGTTTCATAGAACACATCCAGGACTCCAGCTCCACGGTGGAAGTCGGTCCCTAAACAGGTCACCAGCTCACCACTGCAATGAAACACGTGAGGGGAAGAGTCATTCAGAGCAAAAAGCCCTTCCAGTTCAGCTGGCCAGAGCACAGATGGTGTCACAGAAATCTTCCAGATCTCATTTCTGTGATACAACAGAATACAAAACCCCACACAGTTTTCCTCTCCCACCCCCAGCTTCTGCTATTGGTTGGGCCACTAACCATGAAGGGTCATGAAGGGTGACCAGCAGGAGTCCCAGCTGGAAGAGGAAGAGCCAAGGTACAGGTGCAGCTGACCCCCAGCAGAATGCGATCCCATTCCCTGGGAGAAATGACCAGTATTCTGAATTATATGGTTCCACTTCCACAGGAGACAACTCCCAGCTTAGTCAGACTCCAAATATTCTGCAAGAGCTATTTACATGTTCAATCCCATCCCATACTCTGTCCTTCAAAATACTGTCCACTGGGATATTTCCCTAGATCTTTGACACACAGCACAGACCCACAGGCAAATCAGACCTTCTCACCCAATCTGCCATGGCTGCTGTCCTCAACGCCCTCCAGTTATACCACATTCTACAAACACCATATCTGGGGCTGAACATCAAAAGCAACCACCCCAATGATCAGTCATCTGGAAATGACCTTCCAAAGGCTAGACTTTTCTCCTTTTTTTTGACCCTTTCCTCCTTTTTAATTCCTTGTCTGCAGTGAAAGAGCAAAACCAAGATCTCCATGAAGCTCTATGCTGAGTGCTTTGTGGTGGTATCACTCTGTTGCTTGTTCATATGCAGAACCAGCAGCTCACCTGGTGGATGGTGTCTGGTGAGGTCCCAGCCTGCCAGACCTCAAGAAGAAGCTTGAGCCACTTCCCTGGCTAACACGGAATGTCATCAGGTGCATGGCACAGCCTGTCCCGGTGTCATTCCACCTGCTGCAGCAGTCAGTGATATTCAGACATGACAGACTCTTGGGAATGGAGTGGGCAATCTGCCCAGCTTCTTGAAATGGCCACCTATTGCAAACCCTCCTTTTTTTCCTTCTCCTTTTCCTCACACCCTCTACATCAAAAATGCTGGACACAACAAAACTTGAAGCACCTGCTTTTCAAACTCTGCTGCATGGCCACCCCTCACTAACAGCCTCCTGGTTCTCAGGACAATGAAGCAGTCCTGAAAGCCAACAGCAAGGATCCCGCAGTGGGGTCACTCTCAGCATCTCTCTCCATTATTTTGTTACATTCTGCTCCTTGATCCAGCATCACACAGTTCTGAGGCACATCGCCAAATGCCTTAATTCTGTCTGTAATCTGGGCTAAAGCCCTCGTCGGGGGATAAAGACCACACAAAAGGAGAAATAGAGTCCTGGGAGATGTTAAAACAAGTAAACACCTTTGTGTCAGGAGAGAGAAATCGCTGATAAAGCAGATTAGCGCCTCGAGCCCTGGTGTCCCCAGATCAGAAGGCGAGCCCTGGCCGATCTTTGCAGCCAGCACGCTTCTATGATCACAGAGCTGGCGGCATGCTGGGGCCAGCCTGTTTCCCCACAGTCACTCTCCAAAGAGCAGATTATGTAGAATAACAATTTCTTTGTGGCTGTGTAATTCCCTCCGTGACCGTGGCTGTGGGCAGCTACACTGGACCTTGATGCCAGGGCCCTAGCAACCATTTAGAGAGGCCAACCAGCCCTAGCAATGGCCCCCCCATGCAAACCTCTCGGACAAGCTTTAACATCAAGTGCATGAATTAATCCCCCCCAACACGAATCCAGGGGTGCTGGCTTATTGGACTTTGTGTTTCTCCAGGCAAGGAATCGAGGGGATTCCAGGCTTCAGCCCTTTGCAACCTTCTCACAACACATTAACCCTTGGAAGGTTACTTGTAAACCAACCCAGCAGCAATTCTGCACCTGTCTGTGGGTTGACAGATTGAAGCACTCGAGGTTTGAGCACTGTGAGGAAGGGCAGTGGGGTTTGGTTGGCACAGATGGGTCATCAGATCCACTGTGGAGTGAGACATGGATGGATGTGAGTGCTCTGGCACTCTCCCACCCTTTCCAAGCACATAGATCCCCTCCATCTGCCATTCTGCAAAGCCAGCAGGACAAATGGACATGCACACAGCCCTTATCAAGGAATCTGCAAAAACTTCTTCATCCTACAAGATGTGTGGCCCAGAGCTGTAAGACATACAACAGAGGTATGAGGAGGAGTCAGCTGCTCTCCCAGACAAGAATCCTTGGACTACCTGTGAGATGCATAAGACATCAGACTGCCCAACTGACAGAACCTTCTGCCAGTTGCTCAGGCAGGAGCAAGGAGTTACCCCCAAGAGGTGAGCTACCCCAGCAAGCTCTAGGCAGCACCAGCAGCTTGGACCCTGAGCACCACCCAGGTGCTTCACACCTCACTGCAGTGGTACCCAAGCACTTCAACAGAGTCACATCAGTTTTTCTCCCTCTGCTTACATTTCCATCCCAGGCAACAAAAATGAAAGAAAAGGCAACCAAAAAAGGAAGCAAAAAGAAAAGGATTGGCTTTTCTCTGTAGGCATAAAATGAGCACAGATATTTGCAACTTACAGCAGCAAAGTAAACCTTCCTTGCTGGTTTGTTAATCAATTCAGTTCTTCTGGCCCAAGAACAGGTCAGCCAAAGCAGCTCTCAGGTGGGATCTGCAGCCCTTGGAAAGAGGAGCAGTTCTTTGGCAATTTACAGAAGCAATGTGGTAGTTGCTACAGTGAAGCACTTAACCATCTGGCACCAGGGGAAAATTTACTGTGTTCTACACTGGGGACACAAACAAAACACCAATGTGTTCTGGCATGGGCACACTTTAGGTGAAAAAGATGCAGAACACGATTCGTATTTCCCCTTTATTCAGCAGATTAAGGTGTCTCTGGACAGCTATCACCATGCCAGCCTAGCTCTATGAGCCTGCAGCACACACAGCCATGCTGAGCCCATGCTGGGAAGGGAATTCTGCCACCACAACTCTTCCACTCTTGGGATCACAAGTTAGTGCCCACAAATTATCCACTCTTGGTTATCCCAAATAATCCCTTCCCTTGAACCTCACACCTGAACAGCTTCCCCCTTTCTTGGGAGCAAAACCCATAGCTAATCCTTAATAACCCATAAAGGACCAAGATAAGGTCATGAACAGGCAACAAAACAGCAGCAGCTATACCAGCACATCACCAATGGTTTGTAACTACTTAGAGGGACAAAAGATACCTTCTCCATGAGGGACAGAAAGAGATGGCATAGCTATTTTGGACCTTTTTCACCAGCATCAGCCAAACACAGCAGGAAACAGCCGCCTTCTTCAATCTGTGGTCCCTTTTTCATCTAAACACCTTTCAAATCCCAGGTAGGCTGATCCTCAGTACTTCAGAGGGTCTGTCCTTGTTACGGGCTGTGAAGGTTAGTCAAGAAGTGTCTGTGAAGACTAAGTGAGCCCAAACATAGAAGGGCCACACTATCTCCCCACCCTGCCATGGCCCTCCAGCAGTAGAAAGCAGCTGTTTTGCTCCCAGGTCTTCTTCAGGCAAGCCAGGTTACCTGTGCAGATGGTTGGAGCTTTGCTTGTCTTTGTACTGAACAGCCTGGGCCAGATAGTGCCCGTGTCCAGTCCCAGTGCTGGGTGGCAGCAACAGAAACAACTCTGCACCAGTGGAGCTCTGTGAGGCAGAATCACAAATGTGACAGTGCAAGTCTTCTGGAAAGACCATTCTAGAGCAAGAGCTCTCAATTTCAGCACTTTAACCACAAACCACCGAGGCCAATGTGGTACCTACAAACACACAAGTAAGCCTCGAGTGGTGAGGAATCTCATAATAGTCCTAATTTTTCATACTTCCTGTTAAGCATCTAGACAGACTGAATAATACTGGCACTAATCCAGTAGCTGCCCACAAGGAACAGAGGCAGAGCAAATCCAGCAACCTATATTTCATCCCTAGTACAGGAAAGCTGTGCTGGCACTAGGCTCTGGACTCCTTGGTGATAGAACAAGATGTTTAAACCAGGTCGATGTGCCTGGTAAATGTATCCAACTGATGAGCCCAGCCATGAAAGGCATTTTGTTCAGGCACTATAGAGAACCCTTTGATTCATCTCAATCAGTTTCCAAGTTCTTCAAGACTTTTAAAAATTACTTTTAAAGTCAGATATTTATTCAGGATTTCCACATTTCACTCCTTCCTTTCCATGCTAGAAATCTAGCCATGAGCATAGCTCTCCTGATACCTCCAGAAGACAGGCAGCCCGGAAGCAAAGTCAAGAAACAGTCTTGTTTCTTTAAGTTCTTGTTCTTTTTTAAAAACAGCTTCAAGTTCTATTCCTTCTCAATCACTAATATGAAGACAAAATACGACCAGTCATGGCAGAGCCCAGATGGTTACTTTCCAGATAACCCATGGGATATTGCTTCACCAAGTTAAAGTTATATACAGCCTTTCAAGCCACTGCAACTATTTGTGTGGCCATAAGAGCTCAGGATCTCCCTGATATCTTTATGACAGTCAGAGTCCAAAAGAAGTCTGCACTTACCTCCCTGGAACTTGCCCATTTGCTGAGTATCTTGCCCAGCTGTCTCCAGTACACAAGAAACCACGCTCCAAAAGCTGGAATGAAACAACATTTTTCTCCCTACCCTCAATTTCTGGTGACCCCAATTCACTAGAATTGATATTATAAAAATATGTGAACTCTAGAAAACTGCTGAATTTTGAACATCTGTTGAAAACAGAGATGTGCAAAACTGAGGACAATTCACTTGCTCTGGAATCCTCATCTGTGAACTGTGATCATCCATCAAAGAGGAGAATCTGCACATAAGCAGATGACTGTTCAGAAACCAAAGAGAGCTGTAAACCAGTATTTCAGCCCCAATAACTATTTGAAACAAGACAGGTGGGAAGCATATACTTTTAAAAAAAGGTATAAAGAGCCCTATTCCGTTCCAAACACTGGGATATTTGATCTGAGTATCAAACAACGAGAAAGGAAAACAAATCCATTTAAAAATAATTAT